GGCACATAACTCACCATTTAATCACTCAATCGTATTAAGAGGAGTTGTGCAATCGTCACCATAATCAATTGCCAAACACTTTCTTGTCGTTGATAGCCCCCATTTCCCTCTAACCTCTCCTGCCATGCCTCTAGGTAATTGTTCACCTAGTTACGGTCTCTCTGGATCTACTTATCTCGGATTTCATACACAGAAAATCATACAAAACGAGCAGGAAGCAAACAAATGTAAAACAAGATTTCATCTGAAACCTAAAGAAAGGGGAAAGAAGTCATTTGGTTGGACTGGGAAAGAGCTTTCCAGGCAGAGGGGAGGAAGCGAGATTTTTTAAATTGTGCACTAGGTGGCAGAGTGGTTCCAGTCTTTGACGTTTATCTGACATTCTCCTGGTCTGATTTGACAGGGATTGTCTCTTGATTGAAAAGCAGTAACAGTGCAATGCTCTTGATCTAACATCTTCAAAGCACCCAGGATCAAGCAGTCATACTTCTGCAACAGAACATAAGAAAAGCCGTGTCGAAACCAGTCCATAGCCTCCTCTATCCAGAGTTCAGAACCAGATGGTATCTGGCTACGACTGCTGATTGTTCCCAGATAAAAGTGAGGAGGGGGGTCATACTACAAAACTCACAATCTTAAAAGACCAGTTTTCCTGGGCTACCAGACTTGGGGTAGCCTTGCCGGTCTTTCACCCTGAGGTATCATTGAAAACTGAAACTAATGGAGGTAACCTTTCAACTAACTGCACACCATATGTAGACTTCAAAAAGTTCATGTAAAAATCCCATGAACATTTAATTCCATTTTTTCACAAACTTTTTGAAACCCTCCCATTTATATACAAACGAGTTAGATGCTGTCAAGTTGGTTCCGACCCATAGTGACCCCAGACACACCAGAACGAAGCACTACCTGGTCCTGCTCCTTCCCACTTGTGATGTTTGAGCCCATTGTGGTGGCCACTGTGTCCACCCATCTCCTGATGCCCTTCCTCTTTTGTGCTGCCCCTCCCTCCACTGCACCAAGCACACCGTCCTCTTCCAGGGGCTGCTCTCTCCTGTTATTTCAAAGTACGTGGGCGGGGGGCTCAGCATCTTTGCTTCTGAGGAGCATTCTGGCTGTACTTGTTGCGATGCAGGTCGGTCTGCTCTGGCCGTCCACACTACTTCCACCCTTCCTTGCCAACATCCTAATTCACGTGCATCCATTCTTCCGTCTTCCTTATTAAGGTCAACATTTCATACACACAGGAGGCGATTGAAAATGCCGTAGTTTGGGTCAGGTACACCTTCGTCATCCAAGTGACATCCAGCTCTTCAACACTGTACGGAGGTCTAGGTTTGCTGAGCGCAATGCCGTGCAGTGCATCCTTTGATCTTGGCTGCTGCCCCATGGGCACCGATTGTGAATCCAAGCAAGATGACAGCCTTGCCAACATCTCCGTTTATGGTGATGTCACTGTTTGAACCAGATGTGAGATTTACA